ACGGGCGAAAAAAGGTGGAAAAAAAATGCGGGTAGGGAACCGTCACTCGTTGGAGTTCGGCCGCGCGACTCGTAATTGTGAGAGGTCGGAAAAAATAGCGAGCACTCTGCGCACGAAACCGGGTTCTCTACACGCACTATTGACTAGGATTTTTTTTAGAAAGGACGAAGCAAAAGAAAATACTAATAAGAAATATTTATTGACCGAGAAAAACGCAAACGTACACAACGAACAAAAAATTATACTAATACTTATTACAGTACAATAATTGGCAATACGAAATTCAAGTTTAAAACTATGCTAAGTTAAATTTCAAAATTTTCACAAACGACGCCCATACTAAGTTTAAGCACGCCATGTTGATTGCACGTGATTAATTAGGTCGAATTTAAATATTCAGTATAACGTTATTAATTTATAAATTTTGCTTTTCTGAAATAATTAAAATTAAGCTATGCTTCAGCTACTTTTTCTTTTTAATACTGGAAAAAGTTTTTAATAATAGGCGTTGAAACATAAGGTAAAAGAAAATAGTTGCAGGACGATGAAATATCACACGAAGATAAAAAATATTACGTGCAATTATTACCTTTAATTGACATTTTTTAAAATAAAAATATTACAATAATAAATATATTTGAATACGTTCAACGGAACCCTAGTGCTGAAACCAAGCTGAAGAGTGAAATGAATACGGAATTCATATTGAAAGCTTTTTAAAACGCCACGAGAGCGTGCCGCTCGATTGAGGGATTAGATTCGATTCCGTCTGTTTGTGCTGTCAAACAGATTTTTTTTTCTTTCACATGTTGTCGTCACAATGGAAGCGGTATTTTTTGTGTTTTAATTGGGACAATATTGAGCGTGGGTGTGGACAAAAATCAAAAATGAACTCTTTGTTATTAAAAAAAAAACAGTTTTTCTTAATATAATATACTCTCCATCTCTTGCAACTTAATTGTATTTATTTTCATTGGTACAATGTAAAAGGTAGTTCAGCTACTCACCACTGTTCAATCATTTTGATAGAGTGCCAAAATAAATTTAATTTTATTAATAACTGAATTGGTAAAAAAAATCATTTCTCAAAAATTATAATGTTGCTGGTAAAATTACAAACATTATGAACTTTACTACTTACCAAACACATTTATTTCTTATTGGGCATAATAAAAAGTCTAGTAAGATTGTTTATTCATATTAGGCAAAATGTTAAAATCTATTTAAAGGAACGAAACAAAGTTAATACATTCTTCCATTTAACATAGAAGAGAAAGTGAAAGATAAACAAGGTATAATTTCCTACAAAGATAAATATTTATTGTATAATTAAAATGGTTACCATTATGGCCAGACAATCATTACTAACTCTATCGACCACGAGATGGCGTAACATATTTTTGGTGAACATAAATATTATAGTTGCAGCGTCAAAATATTACTTCAGTTTCGTATTTTTTTTGCTTTTATTTTTTATTGGCCAAAAGGTTAATTTGATAAAAACAAATAAATAATCAGTTTGGTTTTTAACTTTCCCTCGATAGATGGCGATATGGGCATTCTAATTCGCTTCTTATAAGAAAAGTAGATGTTTATTTAGTTCGTAATAATCAATGATATCACGAGTATAGTTATTTTTAAAGTGTATAATTTTATTTGCAATAAAGTACAATGCATTTTTAAAATTTATAAATTCGAGCGTAATATTCTTACATTAATTATTCCATATACAAAATCATGGATTTTGAAATAATTAACTCTGGGGGGTTTGTGTAAATTGAGTTAAAAGTTTTCGTTGTTTCTTTCGAAATTTGTCCAAACTGCTCTCATTTTCCTGCGGCAGTGAATTTCACTTTTTTGTTTACACCCCAAAATAAGGCCTAAGAAAAGGCAAACTTAATGCCAATAAGCATTCTCTTCCAGTCAACCCTGTGTGCTGTTATATAGATATGTCATAAATCTTGAGTCTGTTGTCCAAGCCTTCATTAATATTAAGAATGTATGATATAATGAATAATATGAATATAATGAACAATATAAAGAACAATTTTCAAATAATAGGTGAAATCTCATAGTACCGATAATGATCGTACTCATATATTAACTCAAAAGTATACAAATAATATACATGATTGGCAATATCGGCCATAGACATTCTTTTACGAAATTTCAAATTGAAAACGTCCATTTGATAACAGACTTGCCAAATATAACATAATAAATTAAAATGAAGTGGGATCCTACAAAAATAAACAACAAAACGTAACACGAGCGAGTCCTGAAGCAAAAAAATTAATCACGAAATTCGCCGAGACGTAACTAATTTCTACATTTCACGTCATAAACCCTCTCTGCAGACTATGGAACTCGGTTAATTCCGCTACACCTGCGATTTTTAATATAAAAAGAGGGGGAAAAAAACTCACTTCCTTCACTCGCCCGGAAAATGGGAAACTCCCGAAAATAATTACGGATCCGTCCGCAGCTCCGATACGTTTCCATTAATATTAAAAACTTTAATGAAAAAAATATTAAAAGGATCCCTCAGAAATTTATCCTTTTTTCCATTAGGCGGGAAGCGGGACTAGAGCCAGCTGTGGAGTAGTCAAATCTAGTATGAATGTTCAAAATAAATTCACATTTTTATTGACATGGGAGCTGGTGGTTCACCTGATGTTAAGTTATAACTGCTGCTCACAGACGAGAATGACAGTTGAGGGTTTTAATGAGCTTGAAGACGGCGCGCCCTGGCTACCTCACTCCCTTCACTTTCACTTTTGATTTAACTATGGAGTTGTACTGAAGAGCGAAATAAAGTAATGAGCTATCGACTTTAACTACACTTTATTATAGCTTAAGCCTTTTAATTAGATTTCTTTGTATTACCCTTTCTTTTATTAATAAAGGTCCCAATCACCCATGAAATCATGAAAGAATATTTATTTGACACATTAATGATATAACTGACATCATTATTAGCAGTAATAATAAAAAAAAATAAGGAGCAATAATTATGTTATGATTAAAGAAGACTTTTATTGTAGTGTATGATATTTTAATATCTCCATAGTTTCTCTTGTTTGTAAGAAAGTACAGTCAACGTAAAACATAAATAAAAAAAAAACATTTATTAATTATGATGAACACACATTTTTATGATATAGATAAGTTACATTAACATCAAATAAAAATAAATATATACATAACATTGGCCTCAAGAGTTTATTTTATGATTGTATAATAATAATAATAATGAGTTTATTGGGTACAAAAAAATGAAAAACATGTAATCAATGTATGTATGTATTATAACATATATATAACATATTGACTACCGATTGTCATAAAACATAGCTATGACCTTTTTAAATGTAAAATTTATAAAAAAAAAATATGTGTGTACTTATCTACGCACTTAAGAAGTTATACTTAGCGTAAAAAAAGAAAAATAACTAAGAAAATTATCCCGTGTGCCAGTACTCTTTGTGTCTGTAAAATACATTAAACGCATTTGATAACGGTTTAATTGAATAACTTGGTATTATAGGTAAATGTCGAAAAGTCGTTATTGGTTGCCATGGTAGGTATACCGAGAAATTGGCCACCTTTACCAACCAACTTCTTCATGTCGATTTTTGGCGCGAGAAACGTAAAAAAATTAAGTATACCCTCAAATTTTTTTTCAGACGCGGCAAAAGAAGTATAAATAAGACGAAGAATCTCCTGTTTGACACTCATGTTCAGTCAGTCTCGTTTGAAAGCGAGTGTACATCGCATTTGGACCTTTTTCTTTTCATCGTAAAAATAAATATTTTAATCCGCGTACGTACCTTGGCTCGTAGTAGGCCAATTACGAGTTGAGAGTGCGCACCCTCGCTGCTTGAGGGACTGCAGGGGGTGACTTTTTATATCTTACCCTATGTTTAAGGATTTGATGTATGTACCAGGCAACGCTTTAATCGAGTTACTTAGGTAGCTCATTTTTTGCAGCCTCAGTGTATTCAGGATTCTTTTAAATCCTATCTAACCCTGTTGGCTTAGTGAATAATGAACCCGTGTCTTGTGTCTGAATATGTGGCTTTGATTCCTACTCTTGGAAAAATATTGCCCGATGAACGTAGTGTTTTTCTAGTATCTGGCTGTTTATGTGCCTATAATATGTGTTTATATACAAAAGAAAAGTATGTTTAAGTATGTTTATAAGTTACCTAGTACAAGTCTCTCTTTTGGAACTAGATAACTCTGTGTAAAAACATGCCCGGAAGATAAGTAATTATGTATTTGCTTTATCTATTTTTCAGAATTCTATATCGGTATGATATATTACTGAGGCCAGACATTATTTACATTTACAATACAGGATCATTTTAAACGATCATAATTTATAAACTTGGTAGTTGAGTACGGTGTTCTTTTAAAAGTTCGCTATTGTTATCTATATATTAATACGTGAAGAAAAAACTTGTTACTTGGTTACAAATAATATTAATAGTTAAACTCATTTATTTTGTAAACTTCAAAAATGATTCTTATATACATATATTTCCCTGCTTGTTTTATGGTTGATAATACTTTTATTGATAATACTTACTAGTACATTTTACGACACCAAAATATAGATCTACGAAATTTGTTACTTCGTAACTGAGTCTCGACTTTCACAAATTAAAAATCTCAAACCGATAATATTTCAAAGGTACGCCATTTAGAGCACTGGGAACTTGTTAAACTTTAAATTGAGCAGGCCGCCTCTCGGGCGGTTTTCGCACCCAGAAAAACGTGGAAACGTGAGCGGTGAACGCCAATAATGAAGAATGAAAACGAACAGCCCGTTGTAATACGAAACTCATCGTTGAGATCCGGGAGAGAAACGAGAGATGTTTCGAGAGCAAAAAACCTTCGCACCTAAGCTCGATTCACGGGGAATTATCTCCGAAATTCACTTAGCGTGTCCTTTACAAAAACTGGCAACAAACCCCACCCTGATGCGCGGGAGAAAAATGCTCTTAGCGCCCCCCCTCCCCCTCGCCTGGCTCAACCCCACACCCCTCCTCTGGCTAATTTTTGCAAGGGCCCATCCTTTCTTTTACCTGCGCGTATGTTGTACGTAAGCCCTTTTGAAGATTGTTATAGAAAGGATTTCCCGCTTGGATGGTTCGCGGAAAGGTTTCGTATTTATTTTTAATTCGGCACGACGCGTCAACATTGGGAAATTGTACGCGTTTATGAATTTTGATGATATACGTATAGGTTACTTTGCGAGCGCTTACTTCTTTTAGATTTGGCAGGCGAGGTGATTTCGTTTCGCCGATCTTATTAAGCACGAAAGCGTCATAAGTGATTGGCCTGTACGTCGTATAAGGTACGTCAATTACGGTACGTACATATACAAAAAATATCATAATTATAACTCGACACCGTGTCTACGCGGTATGTAGAGTAATAATTTAAAATAATAGCTTTGAATTAGAATCAGACAAAACGCGAAAGTAAAAAACATTTCAACTTTACGTCAGTCCTGCGAGGCCGTGGTACTACCTTGGTCGAGTCCGCCCATTCGTGGCCCCATCACAGTCAAAACATTACGTCTATCAATAAATTAAATGGATTTATCTCTATCGATTAAAATGCTAAATCCTATAGAAACTTTGCCTTGACACGTAAATAAGTACTTAGAGTGAATTTAAAACTAATAACAAAAAAATTAACCCCCATAGCACAGGCATTGCCTAGTGTGGGGGTCAGAAATAAATTTAAGTGTAATTAGGTTTAAGTTTATTAATTGGAATCGATTAGAACACCAAACGGAGTGCCGAGACATACTAAAAAGTGACATTTGACTGTAAGTATAAACTTCTTACAGTCGAACTATAAATAACGCTCGTTAGAGACAATTTTACGTAACTAAAACGCCGAGTGTCTGTAACGAGTTAGCGATTGAAGTTATTTTCAAAATGGGACGTTAAAGATTGAGTAAGTTTTAGAACAATAATGAGGTAGGAACATAAAGTATCGACTTCTTACTTTACATTTGCGTAAGATATCTAGTAATATAAAATGATACATTTTATATTATTAGATATCTTACGCGTAAACTTCTATTTCTATTTTGTTCATAAAATCTATGATGATTGGCTTCATCACCAGTGGTCGTGGGCTCTATTCCCGCATGAGAAATGAATTCAAGTGAAAAGCACATAGCTCTTCCGGATCTGGATGCTTATTTCCAACGAAAAAACTAGAATCTAGAAAGAAGACTAGAAGATCTTCTAGATCTTCTAGTCTTCTTTCTATTACAGTAACAATATTCTCTGTTACATGAATGGGTAGGTTCGTACGGGTCCACGACCTCACAGAAGACCGGCGTGAACTGTGGAAGTCTTATACTTTTCGTCTATTGAGTCAGGTAGCCGGGGCCCACTTTATTAAACGATGGCTACGCAACCCTACTAATAACAAAAAGCACAGTTGCAATAGTTTTTCTCACGAAATTTGCTGCAAACCACTAAAGCAAGCAGTCTGCGGTGCTTAATATTAAATGAAAATTCCGTATTTAACCAACGATTTGTACTAAGACTCCATAAAGGCGAGTTGTAATTTATACTATCAAAGCACATGCTCGGCGGGCGACATAAAAAAGTTATAACGCTGGGGAGTGAGCGAGCAGGTTGCGAGTGGAACGGCATAAAGAAGGGTATATTTTTGTGATAAGGTAGATTTATAGAAATGAGTCTTCGTGGCCGGAGGCCCGAGCTTTCTGCCCCCGCCCCGGAGGCGCATATGTGTGGAGTGAGACATTTCGTTGACGAATAAACTTTCTAGTGATTTTCCACACGCGAGTCTTCTGGACACTGACAACCAACGGATAACCTGATAAACGCAAAAAATGAGGAAAGGAAAAAGTATTGGCTTAGATCGTTTGTTTTTTTTTTTTTCATTTTTGTGCTGACCTTTATAATACCAGAGACATTTGCGTTACCTTTTATTTTAAACGAAACGCACAAGTCTAAATACCTTCGAGTGATAGGAACCTTCCTTAGTCGCGCTGGTCTCCTGCGAACCCGTGCTTTCCTTCACAATCTATTCATGAAGCTGTAATGAAAGCTGTTGTGGCTACCACAGTAAGAACAATACTGTGGCCATCTGTGGTTGGGCAGCTTCGGCTGTTGCACGAATGGTCAAGCACGGTCAGTACCAGAGTCTCACAGAAGACCGAAGTGAAGTTCAAACATAATTCTATCGTGCTTCGTCTGTGTCACATGTGTCGTAGTTGTAGATCACTTAAGTAGAGTTATTCCACTGACCGATGAAAAATGGATGAGCAATACTTTCGCGTTTCGTCTAGTGAGCGAGGCAACTTGACATAAAATGTATGTATATGTGGGAATGGAGAGCGAGGACTGAGTGAAAAAATTAAGAAATGAAATGATTGAGTCGAATGTAGGTTGAATGAAGGATTGATAGTGAATGAATGAGAGGAGGGATAAAAAAGTAAGATGGCGATTTTGGTACGACGCGAGTGAAGACGAACACGTTCTCAAAGAATATATCTGAGTAATCTCTTGAATAATGCTATGTTTGTGGCGCTGATTAAAGTTTATATTCTGTTCAAAACGAGTCTATTCATTTCTACGAGCACGCCATCCCACATATATAAAAAAGTCTGCCTCCACACTCGCCCTGCCCCTCAAATCCCTTTGTCTTGCCGCTCGCTCTCCGTATTTTTTCCCCATTACATTTTCATTTTATTTCATATTTCTCCTTTGGGGGGCCCTCGGGTAGGGATAATAAAATTTTTCCCACTCCGCTCCCGTCGCCTTTATTTATAGGGACGGTTAAGGTCTGGAATATGTTCTCCCGCATTTAGTAATGAGCCAAATTATTGGGGTTGTTTTTCGAGATTGCCGTCGATTCGTTTTTTTCCTAATTTCCAAGGGACACCGCCACTGTGTTTCGGAGATAAGTGGGGGATTTTTAAACAATAAAAGCGCGAACGGAGGCTTTGCGCTTACGGAGCTTACCGATGGAGGCTTTTTTAAACCTTTTGCCCTTTCGTATTCGATTTTCAATTTTATGATACAAGGACAATGTAGATTAGGTTTTTTCCTCTTTATTTGTAGCACAAGCTTTATTTGACTTTATTCATTGGAAACAACTTTAGATGAGGGTGTATTTTATTTATAGTAGTAATTGTATAAGTTACTTTCTAGATTATTTTTTTATTTTTATTTTATTTCTATTAGGAAAACTTACAGAAATTAAGTATTTATTTTAAAACAATACTGTAACATATATAAAGAGCCAATTACAAGTTTCCATCTTTAGTACATAATTATGTTTTAAGAAAAGTCGAGCAAGTAATGAAAGAGAGAAAAAAGTAATAAAAATAAATAAATAAAAAACTTTGTACATAAATCAAATTCAATTCTTGGTAATTAACAATTTTTAGGAAAAATATTGCTCTGTTAAAGTTTCTTTAGCTACAGTTGGAGAAGTAAAGAATGGGTCGATATTTCGTGCATTAATAAATTTAGCAGTCCTAATCATGAAATAATTGCATATGTAATTTGTGTGAGCTCTGGGTAAGTAAAGAAGTTTGCGGTTCCTCGTGTTTGCTATAGGTACATTTATAGTGATGTCTGATAATAGCTCGTGAGAGTTAATTGGACCGTTGCAGAGTTTCAGGTAAAAACCGACGCCGGACGGACAAAGGAAGAAAATGGTACCTATGGCACCTGTCATTGTAATCACGTGAATTATTAAGCAATAAAATATGCAAACACTGAGCAAATCATCGACTATGGATACTAGTTAACTATTAAACATACTTTTACAACCATTCACAAACATATGTCTGTATTAAGGACACACATTTTTTCTCTCTCAACATTTAAATTAAAAATTTACAACGTACAACGGTAATCAATTCAATATGCCGCCTGAAGGGTGAATACAACAGTGAGTTTCCACCGGATGCGCCCGAAGAAGACGAAACGTGCCGACCTACGCGCGTTACAGTCGAAAATTACTCAGCATAAAAAACATTAATAACCATCGCCTTCCCCCCTCCCCCCCGCGACTCCTTCTGCGCCATTTTCGAGTCCTCCGTTCATTAAAACTGTAGAAAAACACCTCTGTGCGGGGGTGGGGGGGGCAGGGGCCAGGGGGCCTCCCCCTCGGGGCAGTCTAAAGAAGAAGAAATATGGATCAATAAAGAAATAGCTCGTTGTCCAATGGAGGCAGCGGCGAGCACCCACACAGGCATAGCGGCCGCGTGCGGACGTCCCGCTAACGCACACAGAGGCCGGGGCGGAAAAATTTCGCGCGCGTGTGGGTGCGCCGTTTGCGGTCGAGGCGAAAAACTCGCGGTGCGGGAGACAGATTAGAGGGATTTTTTTAACAGATAGCTGCGCGTTTCGCAGGGTTCAATCGCCCTTTTCGAATTTCGTGTGTTAGTTATGCCTTTTGACAATTTGTAGAGTTCTACGTACAGACGCCGTAGACCTCTACAAATTAGAAACATAGACACATGAGCTGTTATATTTGGAAAAGGTTTCGCTGTACACATGTAAGAATAAAAGTCATCTTACAAAAACTTTGAGTGGTTAATTGTATCAATATCGAGAATTGGGGAAATGTATAATTTTAATTTTATCAATACTTAAACCTAACTTAAATTGAAATGTGAATCTTCTACATCTATAAAAGCAGGTTATCGAAACAAGGTACAAGGTCAGGTATACAAATGTTAAAAGTATGTATCAAAGAAACGAGATTACGATTTACTACAAAGTATTGTATAAAAAATTATAAATGTAAATTTTAAACAGATTTAATAATATGGATCAAATCTTAAAATTAAACATAAGTTATAATTTAAATGAAAAGACATAAAGTAACACAGGGGCTATTTGTTTATATGTATGAAAGTACAGGCGTAGGCATATATTATGACATAACAGTTCATTTGTTTAAATTAAATTTTCAATTAAAATGTAAATAAAAGGAATGCTATGGACTTCTTAATTACGGCACCGAAGCCGATGAGTGTATAGTTGGAACGACGCAAGCAAGGTAGAAAAGTTTGTTTACATTTACGTAAGTATTGCAACTCGATACAGTTCTTAGAAAATATAAAAAAAATACATAAATCACCTTTTTCCCCTAATTTCTTGTAACGCAATCAAAATCATATGTTATTGTTGTGTAGTACAAATACAACGCAAAAGTGTTGCCAAACGTTACGCGGTCGAATTGCAAAAATAGCGGGCGCTACATTAAAACGAGATAAGGCGGACGGTTAGCAAAAAGCATAAATTTGGCAACACTCCGTTGGCAGCGGACTCGGTACAAAGCGCGGCTAAGTTTCGCATTAAGATAGCTATAAAGTTATGGGCGGGTGTCGCGTTCGTTGTTCATGAGCCTTTCCGCGTACAAATCGCGTGCTATTTTTTTAATCGACGAACGGTATTGACGGATACAATGGCAAATATACAAGAGGTTATGAAATGAGTTTTTCAGAATGTCTACTGGTCTCGAACTTGATGGTTGAAGAGTAGAGCATAGACAAAATTACACGGCTTAATTTACATTGGCGGTAGCGGACCCCATTAGAGTTATAAGGAAACGTCCCTTTTGAAAAGTGCAGAAGTATAAAATACATTTAGGTTTTCGTCTATGTGAACATAAGACGTTTAGTTCAGTGGCTAAATCGTCAGGCACGTATCCCTTAGGACGCAGGTTAAAATCATTATCATCATTTCAGCCTTCCTCACATAGTGCCACGAAGCACAATCCTAAGCCACCTACATATGGATGTACATTGATGGCAATGCATTATTTTCAAATCCTCGCAAAGGCGAAAATCTTTTTCGACAAAGGCCATTTTTCTGTTAATCTTAAATTTAATTTTAAGTGTACAGATAACACTATAAAATAATATCATTTAAAAAAGTAGTAAGTCCTTAATTTTAAAATGTAAGACCTCTATAAGGCGCAAATTCGGCCCCACATGGAGTACTGTTCTCACCTCTGGGCGGGAGCCCCCTATTACCAGCTTCTTCCATTTGACCGCATTCAACGTAGGGCAGCTAGGGTTATCGACGATCAAAGTCTTTCCGATCGGCTTGATCCTCTGGCTCTGCGTAGAGATGTTGGATCACTCTGCATCTTCTACCGCATTTATCACGGGGAGTGTTCTGAGGAATTGTTTGGATTGATACCGGCGGCTGAATTACACCATCGGACATCGCGCCAGAACCAAAAATTTCATCCACACCACCTCGATGTCCAACGTTCCACAACAGCGCGATTTTCAAGGCATTTCTTGCCTCGCACAACCACTCTGTGGAACCAACTGCCGCCGGCGGTCTTTCCGAACCGTTACGACCTGGGAACCTTCAAAAAGAGAGCGTACTCTTTCTTAAAAGGCCGGCAACGCATTTGTGAGCCCTTGGGTGTTGCAGGTGTTCATGGGCGGCGGTAATCACTTACCATCAGGTGGAGCCTCCTGCTCGTTTGCCCCTTTTCTCAAAAAAAAAAAAAAGAAGAAAAAAATGTTTTGAATAGCACAGCAGTTATGTTATAATTTCTAAGTTATCATATTTCATAATTTCAATAGGATCTTAAAACAGGCTGAAATATGACAGATAAAATATAAAGCACAATATAATATAATGAAAATCTCACAATTTTGCCCCATGTACTTTAAGTACTGGATTAGTTATTGTGCATTAGTTCGCCCTCGCCTCCGAGCACGGCGAGACCAACACAACGCGTACACAAGGTACACCCGCGTTCCAGGGCGGTTCTCACCGCCCCCAGCCACCGATTAGCTAAAAAACACAGTCGACGGCCATCGGGGTCTCGGTCCGCACCGCTACTTCGATGGCCCTTAGATGACATGCCGTAGTTAAACGCACATGAGCACATGCGCGGCCCTACCCACAGCGGAGGGCCCAAACCCGTGGGTTCTGGCTAGCCCATTCTGCGTGATGAGCTTTTAGTTCTCTGGTGAAAGCACAAACATCAGTTAATACAAGATACAAGAAGTTATTGTGTAAAGTAACTATATTTTGGATATAATTTTGAAATTCAGGTTTTTTTTATGTGAAAGGTTCACCTGTTGTTAAGTGAATACCGCCGCCCATGAACATCTGCTACACCCTAGGGTTTCAGATGCGTTGACAACCTTTCGAAAATTGGTCTCCGGCTACCTCACTCACCAGACGAAACGCGAAAGTATTATACTTGCACTTTACGCGGTCTTCTGTGAGGTCGTGGTACTTACCCGGACGAGCCTGCCCATTCGTGCAACAGCCGAGGCTGCTGCGTGGCCCCACCACCGTCAAAATTAATTGAGTTGTAAATCACATAGAAAATGTGTAGTTCCTAAGGTATATAAGTTCTTTTTAGGGTTCCGTACCCAAAGGGTACAATGGAACCCTTATTCTGAAGACTCCGCTGTCTGTCTGTCTATCTGTCTGTCTGTCTATCTGTCTGTCTGTCTATCTGTCTGTCTGTCTATCTGTCTGTCTGTCTATCTGTCTGTTCGTCTGTCACAAGGCTGTCTAATAAACCGTGTTAGGTAGACAAATGAAATGTTCACGGACGATATATTTCTGTTGCCGCTATAACAACCAATACTGAAAAACCGAATAAAAAAATATTTAAGTGGGGCTCCCATACAATCGACGTGACTTTTTTGGCGATTTAATACATAATTTATAGATAAACCCTTGGTGCGTAAGACTGACTCGCACTTGGCCAGTTTTTTGCTTTTTGCTAATGTTTTATTCTTTATCAAACAGGATAAATATTGGAGTTTTCCTTAGCAACAAGGCACACGGATAATCTTTACCCATCTCGCCATCCATCTTAGAGCGAACAACAATGCTTTGCTCCCCTTTTATTCGGCAACCATTATAATTTCTTAAGGCTTTTTGCATCATTTAAGCTGCGCCAAACAAAACATTACAGCTAAGTCTGCGACCACTCACGCTTGAGCCATGGTTCTCTTCACATCCTGTAATACAGGGGCTTCTAACGCGACGTAGAGGGCGGATCACTGAATCTGGACGGCATTTTATGCTGATGTCTGGAAAGAAATGTGACGTCACGCTATGATTAAGTTGAATATTACGCATATATTTTGCACATAGACACGAATAATGCATCATTAAGCGAACCATTTTAACTTTACTGTCGAATTTTATCCTATTCAATATTTTATTTACAACTGTCAATTTAGTTTTCAAATTACCAATAAGTTTAACTATACGTAGCAAGTATTTAACGCACAGTTGTAAAAATATATCTTATTTCGGAATATAAGCTGGCTCACGGCTGACACTAGTGTGTACGTATCACTACATAGTATAAAACAAATTTGTACCGCTGTCTGTTTGTCCCTATGTATGCTTAGATCTTTAAAACTACGTAACGGATCTTGATGCGGTTTTTTTATTAGATTGATTGATTCAAGGGGAAGGTTTATATGTATAACACATTACACCTGTGCGAAGACGGGGCGGGTTGCTAGTACCATTATAAAAATACAATTTTTTCTGTTCAGATAACATTTGAAAAGCAACGATATTTATATTACTTGCTTCTTTAACAAGTTTGTCTTTGACAGGTTTGTCTTTGACAGGTTTTATTTTCAGGAAAATGTTACCATATTATTATCATCTTCATCTTTCTTTATTTTTCTTCTTTGGCCCCTCATGATTTTGCCCACAAATTAATTCTTCATTGGATGCGATCATTTGCTGTATGTATAACACGATGGATTCTGACGCCAAAATACGAAGAAATATCGTTACGTTATTGGTAAAATATTTTAGCTTTGTAAAGTTTTCTAAATAACAGACCGTCATTTGCGTTGATGAAAATATATTACAAACTGCGTTGATCATTCGTCATATGTAATGCTGAATTAACGTAACTGCAATAAATCTATTTAGATAAATTAAAGATGGGTTGGTGGTTTTTAGCGTTCTATCGAAGTAAATTTTAAGTCCTCACCTGTGCTAAAAGTGGCAGCTAGTTACATTCAAAAATATTAGTCGGTGCTGTTCGCGTCGCCATTTATGAGCATGTAAAATAAAACATTTTTTAGATGTTAAACAAAACATCTGTCCTATCAAAAGTTGATTTTTTTATTGGATGGGCGGTTTTCGACGATATTTATATAATTGGGATATTATACTGTTTTCGCTTTTTAATATTTTAATAATATTTTATTTGAATATAATTTATTAGCAAATAATTTTAGAAGAATTTCACAATTATTTTATTCGTATCTCATCATTTGCTAAAATACTACATAAACTCGTTTCCACTGCGAATGAACATACATGATAAAAACATGAGTGAAACGACTACAGATATCGCAAAGAATAAACAATGAAAATGATAATACTAACTATGGTGATCAACCTCGCGCACTATAAAGATCTATTGTTTTAATTTTTTATAGAAATCTAAAGCTGAAAAACAATTGAAAACAACAAAACAACGGTATCGCTTCCGATTATCTAGCCCGTCGGGAGTTGAAATGTTATACTCACTGTTGCTTCTCAATACATTTATTGTAATATTTTGTATATACGTCATAACCTTAATTATTACCTAAAGAATAGTGACAGACATAAAATAAACACTAGAAATAAACACAAACTTACTACGCGATTGTTTCGTCTACAAAAAGTAAATAGGTCATTCATTGGGCAAAGTGTGCGCATGTATAATAAAATCCCACAGTCGATATTAAGTCTGCCGCTTGATCAATTTAAACGTAAAATTAAAAGTCAAATTATGGTTAAAGCATATTATACCATTGCGGAATATCTCGAAGACGCCAATGTGTGGAGTTAATACTGTTGATACTCACGTAATCATAAGATTATTATACATGTATGTTGTATTGTAAACTGATACTTTGGAAAAAGAGCAACTGCTGATTTTCTTGCTGGTCTCTTCTTAACAGAAACTGCTTTCCGATCAGGCGGTAATACCTTTATAGGTACGTAAAGGTACCACCAGAGCCGTGATAGCTCAGTGTCCGGGCGCTCGCCTTTAATTCAATATACTCCAGCAACCTGAGTTCGATCCCCGGTGTCGGCACTAATGAAGTTTTTAACTTTAAGTGCTGTCTTATCACGTGCTCCGCGGTGAAGGAAAACATCGTGAGGAAACCTGCATATTTTCGAAATAATAACAAAAAAAAAAAAATATTTCGAAGATATGTGAAGTCCGCCAATCTGCAGTGGGGCCGCGTGGTGGACCCTGATACCCTCTATATAGAGGACGCCTTTGCCCAGCAGTGGGACATGTATAGGCTGTTACTTTACTTTACTTTAAAGGTACCATCGGCGGTATATATAATTTTTGATGTAAAATTTGACGATTCATATGAATGCGCAACCGTCTGTTTGAATAAACATATTATTTTTAATTTGATATAATATAAGAGATATTTCAAAAGTCTTTTTAAAGAAGAACTTTATTTGTTACACTGATTTTAATTACTACAAAATATAACTTAGAAAATGGAGTTAGAAATAAGTATTGAAGGGATCCATCATCGGCATCCATCTGGTGCGCTTAGCTACTACACTTATGCTGACACAGCTCTTTTATAGAGCGGTGAAATGCATCGGCCCTAAAGTGTACGATAATAGTACATAACAGAACGCATATCGATATAACGAAAAAGGCCCGACCGCTGAACAACTGCAGCCCCGTCTTTTAAATCCTGAACACGCTGCAACTTTCTTTTGAACTTCCGACGACGGCGACGATAGATACAACAATAAGTATAAGTGATTCAATACTCTGTGCCCGAACAATGGATATGGCTGAAGAAATATGTAAAACGCCGCTGCGGAACCCCCGGCGGCTGGCCAGGGTCGAACTTGGGTCACCGTGGAAATGTCATTTAATTATATGGAGAAAACTATATAATCATATATTTCATTTCTCAGAAGTAATTTAAATCGGTATTTCTATATCTTTCTTAATACTGCATCATGCTTGTATCCAATTAAGGAGGTTTTTTAAAAAGAAATAAGTTCTTCGCCAGTGTCGAATTATAACCAAACATTTTCAAATTTAGAATACCCAAAAATCGAAAAGACAGAGTTATATTTTAACTAATAAAATATCGTTGATATATACAGAAATTATCTCTGTATAAATCAGCAATATCTTTCCGAACCATTACGTCCTGGTACTTCAGGCCTTCTATTTCCTGGAGATAGGGCACTTGGTCTGGCCATGTTCTTCTTTGTCGATGCAATTATCTTGATTTAGCATCACTCAGCATCCCTTACAGAGCGAAAGACACCTCTATGTCTGCCGCCTACGCCTTCAGGGGGCAAGGTTATGCGTACATCAGCCTCTCTTTCTTTAGCCATTTTCATACTAGTATAGATATCTCTCTGCTAGGCACAACTTCCTGCAGTAAACTCCACGGTTTTTACCAGCCTCTACTCCCACATGCTGATGTCGATTGAGCGTAGTTCTTCCTGTCCCCCCTTCTGTCTCCAGGGGAACTGATATTGGAGGGAAAGCTTCTAAGATCATATCGATCATATGTACTTAACGTAACTTATTTTGGCAAAGAAATTCCATTCTAAGCTAATCTGGTATGAGGGCCCAGGCTTTTTGGTCAGAAATGCCATCTTAGCTTTCAGTTTCCAGGGCGGGAAGCCAGACAGCTTGCTTGCTACGCACCATGAATAATATAGTAGCATGGATAACGGACACCTCAATGGTTTGAGCAAAACAGGTGCTCTCCGTCGGGATATCTCATATAAACCATAGGCTTCATGAACCTACAGCTGTGGCTCAATGGGTCGAACGGTTCATCTTCTCAGGTGTTCATAGTCGATATCAATGTGTCAATCCTACTCATTTTCCCGCTGATTGACCCTTTGACGAACCTCTATTTATTTTAGCTATTTTATTAATGGTTCCAACTCCTGTGATCAATTGACTCTTCCACATCTATTGAGTGTACCTGTGTGGTAAACGAGATTACGTATATTTCTGATATTATGTCACGTTTGTTGCAAACAAATCTTGACACCCTATTTGTACTGATTACAAAATAAATCGATGAGGTAAAAAAAATAATAAAAAAATCCATCGTAAAAAAAGGTTGTTGTTATGAAATTGTATTATTCTTGCTGTCTTTAAAAAATAGCGAAATGGTTACCGAGGGTATTATTCTATCTTCTAAGTATTTTATTTATTTTTATTGAAGATAATAAAAGTATAACCCCTAAGTCCGCACCAACGAAACGCTGTCCGTAGGAAAGCGTGGGGGGGCACGGGTGTGAGGGGGACGTCCGACACGGCGCTCCTTTTTACGTTCCAAGCCGTTGCAGAGATTATCAACGTTTTCATAGGCAATGCCTATTAAGTTGTCTTGTATGTTTCATAAGAATTATTTAGTTTCTTACTCTCGTTTTAGTACTGTTTAAGATAATAATGAAATGGAGCGCAGAGGAGCAGGTTTTAAATGTGTATATGCTCGTAGAATAAGCAGTGTTCTATCCAAGCAGTCTATGTAAGTATAGTATAAAGTATGAAATACCTTAAATCTTACGGTTTATGTAAATTCAAGTCAATACATATTACTGATAAAGTCATTATTGATAAAGACATTTTATACATATAAAAGAATTTTAAATTAAAAAATGTTTTATTAACCAACGGTTTGCCACCCCTTTCGCAAGAAGGTGCGAGCGGCGCGTCGCCTCAAGAATGCTACAATTTTCTCGAGTTTTCCATTTCTCGGCGACCCTCCCCTATACCCTATCCTACCCACCCGCTTCTTGGGGAGAGAAAAAAGGAATGGTCTCGGCGTTGCCACGTAACCGCCCGCCAAGATTTTACGCTCACCCGCTTTTTATATTACAAAAAAAAAACATTATTTTTACGATATTTTTAATGATTTTGTATTTATGCTTAATGATATGACACTTAATAAAATCGAACCGCAGTATTTATAAGGTGAAACATAATATTTGTTGGGCATTATATTCGGAGTTTTTGCAATAATGGCTTTGTTTGTCACTCAGAGAGGTTAAGACATTTATGCTTTCACCAATTTGAGTTATTGCAAGTAATAAAAATGCTGATAGTTTCGACGATGACTGATAGCTCACAAACTAGTAAACGAAACGTACATCAATGTATAAGTAGACAGACATTTTATATACAATTTGTGATTCATTATAAACATTGCTACGTAAAATGTTTACTTACGTATACTTGTACAATATGTGTTGTACTATAGTAGAATAGTTGTATAAAATTTCAGAATTTATTCGACGTCATAAACATCACAGCGTCTATCTAGACGTTCGTTGTTATTCAACCGTCTTTTAAAAACTCAAGAGTGATTAAAATGCATGTAGTAGTCCGCGTTCGTTATAATTTAAATTTTCCAATAGGATCGTATGAGGCATAGTCGCCAGGGACCTCGCACTTTCTCAGCGGAACAAATCTCGTAAGAAATATAAAAATTCGCCCCGAAACGGCCTATAACCGCTAGCTGTAATCGGTGCAAAAATGCGCCTTAATACGTACGCGATACGTTTGATAACTATTCGTGAGTGTGCCTTCGATATTTCAATGACGCAAGGTCTGTATTCGAGGCCTGTTTCAGACCCAAAAGCGCCGTATTGAAAACGCATAATGTTCAATTTGCGATCTGCAGTTTTCGAGATACGCTATATATCTCCGACGCATCGTATACAGGCTGTTCTAAGACAGTGTTCGTGGAGGTTGCCAAGTGTTGGTGAGCGCCCACCCCGCTTCTTTGCTGTGTTAATTTACATTTTAAATTGCACTTACATTGCCGAGCGGCGACTTGGCCTGTTTTGTTGCGTCCTGTTTCGTAGGGCGAGGGCGGAGAGGGGGCGAGGGGGATCTTTCGAAACAACCTGTATATAAGTAATGATGGGATGAATAAACTGTGCAAATACAGCGGCATTGGAAAGTAGAGTTAATTCGTTGGTGAAATTCGCTCGTTTCAAAGCATTCGTTCGTATTGATTTAAGTTACGAATATGTATTCAAATTTAACATTCCAAATTAATATTTGCAACTGTGGCATACTGTTAATATAGGCTGGTATATTTCTGACTGTGCTATACAGACTAACATTTATAAAGTAAAATATATTATATATGTTTAATTTTTACGTTGTTAACTTGAACTATGATTTTCAACCCATGATATCCACAATAGAAAGTTACTTATATATTCATCAAAAACCTTTAAAAGTAGTCACTTACTCGTACAGTCACTTACTTATACATACTTTGGTACTCTATAACAACTCCATAAAGTATTGGATAAATTATTAAGTGCACTAAAACACGGTGTGTCTTAATTTTTTTTTGCATTTAAATAAGATAGATAATTAAATAATAGATTGAAACCCGGTATGGGTTAACTCCGATATTATGACGTAAAATAATTCAGTCTGTTATGTGATGATGATTGCTGTAAAATGATTGTTCGAAAATTAAAAATCAAAATAAAATGCGATAATATCTGTTAAATAGTTCCGTTTAATAATCTTAATTTCCAATTCAAATTTTAAGGATTTTTTTACAAAAAGTCTTGTTTCATCACAGTTTTATATCACAAAAATGTTGCTATCAGAGGACAGCCACTTTGTTTCGAACACAGCGCAAGGTCTGAAACGCAATTGAACAATGAAAATTTGTGTAAGCAAGTATTGATTTGCACCTCACGTCATAACACATCATCGGATGCATGCAAAAGTCTAATGCAAACTCCTGGAACTCAAGCGGGGAGCGAATGAATGATATCATTTCATTCTGGTATTAATACTATAAGTTCTATTTAAAGTAATAAATGAACATCAAGCAGCGTCTATACGCTAGGGCCATGCCACAAATCCAGCCGTTACAGTAATAGGCAGGCCAAGAAAGTACAACGGCCTAACAGAAGACCGTGTGAAGTGGAAGTATTAAGCTTTCGACTTTCGTCTGGTGAGTGAGGTAACCGCCTATTTCTTAAAGATTCAACAACCAACGCATCAACAACCTCAGGTACTGTAGATGTCCAGGCGACGGAATTCACTTAACGTTACGGACACCGCCTGGACGCTAGCAAACTTATAACATTAAAAAATCGATCATTGGATGGGCCAAGTCACAGTTTCGGCTGTGAATGGAATGTGCAGGCTGATCCTAGGAAGTGCCACAGTCTCGCAGAATACCACTGTGAAGTGGAAGTGTTGCCAGATAGCCAGGGTCCAATTCTTCGAAAGTTGGTAACACATCTACCAATCCAATGGAGTCGCAGATGTCGTTGGGCGACGGTAATCACTTGATATCAGATGATCCCCTCGATTACCAACATCTCATTAAGAAGAATTACTTCCTAGAATGAATTCACTTTTCTTATGTGAAAAGTTGCCAAGCGAGTAGACGGTTCACCAGATGTTAAGTGAATACCGCCGCCCATGGACATCTGCTAGCTACACCCGAGCGTTCCAGATTTTTTTTTTTTTTTTTTATGCGAAAAGTTGTCAAACGAGCAGACGGTTCACCTGATGTTAAGTGAATACCGCCGCCCATAGACATCTGCTACAACCCGAGGGTTGCAGATGCGTTGACAACCTTCTGAAAATTGGGATCCGGTCACCTCACTCACCAGACGAAACGCGAAAGTATTATACTTTCACTTACCAGTACTTACCCGGACGAGCCTGCCCATTCGTGCAACAGCCGAGGCTGCTACGTGGCTCTACCACCTTGAAAATATGATAAATACATTATGGTCGACTCAGACGACGAGTACGTTTTTATCATCTGTTATAGGACTCGTGAATCGACTTGTATTATTCCAGTTCAAGCGGCGATTTCTTCCTATAATTGATTGCATCACTAATTGATTTTTATTGGTAATCTCTACACTCAGAGAAATCTTAAATTGGGTTCTTTATTGATAAACTTCGTTGTTGTTGTCTTCATCACATAACAATCACATAACTTAAAAAAATCACATTTGTTTCAGTTTATTGTTTCATTTTGTCAATATCACTCTCCGTTTTTATACACTGGGCACAAAACTTGAATCGCAGTAGTGAATCTTGCTATTCTGTCAATTCGAATGGGGTTTTTATTTAGATTGGCGAGCATTTTGTGAAAGAATAAAGTGATAATAAAAACTTTCATATTTATTAAATAGGCATACGAAAATGTTAATATGATACTATAACCATAATTTAACAAGCATTTCCTGTGCCATAAAATCAATTTCCGCCCCCGATACATCCTTGGATAAACAAAACTTCATCGATATATGAAAAAAGGGTTGTGTAACGAAACGCACCCTTGCTAATCGAATTTGAACTTTATTAAATTAGACGCAAAGCTTCAACGGATGAGTCCAAATAAATACTCACTTTCAATTTCTAAGACATCCAGAGGGCTTTTGTTGTTTTTATCGCGGCTATTATTTTTGTTAACGATATAGAATTTATTACAAGGTGGTAGGATGCATGTTCGAACGTCCAACGTTCCGTGTGCACGTGGAAAGGAAGCAATTTAAAATTCAATAACTCGGTCTCGATAACTTATTGTTCGACACCTCGTTACAGCTTGTCAAAGAGTAGGAAAGATTTGTGTTATGGGCAGGCTGGTTTAAACTTTTAAATTCCATTAAAATAAATATGTCTCAACTGACATCCCGAAAATAATTCACTTACGAACTCCTTAGATCATGTAAATGCTTACTCGGCCGTTATATTATAGTTCAGAGTCCAGGCGCTCGCTTTAAACTTAATATACTCAAGCTACCTGAGTCGGTACCAGTTAAACTATTAATTGCAGTTTTAAATGCTGACTTATGACGTGAGCGGTGAAAGGAAAAGTCGTGAGGAACCTACGTGTTTTTCATAAATAATAAAAAAATATTTTGTAGATATGTGAAGCCAACCTGCAGAAGGTTCGCTTGGTGAACTACGCCCTGTAAAAGGCCTTTGCCCAGTCTTGGGACATGTATAAGCTGTTACTTTAAATACTTTAAACGCTTTGAAAGTAAATACAAAAGTTATGACATCAAGTATAGCAGAAATAATAGAAATAATTTTTAATATTTGTGTTAAAAACTGACCAAAAGCACTCCTTCCCGCGGGAGTATAAGTGAAGTTTCTAGTTTTTGGTAAGCAGTAACAATACTAGCAGGGTGAATGTGAAACTGCTAAACCACAATTACTTACTAAATTTGTGGAAACAGGTTTCAAATGGAATTTATATTTTTTATGTGATAAGTTGACAAGTGTTCGCTTCGGTGGTGTGATAAGTTGACAAGTGTTCACTTCGATTCGTTCGGTGGTTCAACTGATCAAGTCAATATCACCACCCTTCGACATGCTAACCTCACCACGCTCCCACACTCACACTCGTACTCTTCGGACACAACGCAGAAGAACTACTTCCAATGTCTGCCGATCTCCTGGAAGGCTGTGGTACTTCCCCTTATCAGTCTACCTATTCGTGGAACTGCATGATCTACTGAGTTGCTCCACCACAGTCAACTGATAGTGGTAACTTGATTGCTTCATCTGCTGGTAAGTGCTAATTTGGTAATAGGAAGAAACTCACTACAAATTAAATAAACTTTTTATTTGCTCCTCTTAGTCACCCTATATAGACATTAAGTTTTTCAAACAAAATTGTCTAGTAATAAAATTGCTTTACCGTATGTGAAGTATAAACTTAAAAATTTATTTGTTTTCCATTATTGTGCCAATTCATGTCCTAATAATAAGATAATACATATCAGGAAAATGTCAATCTTCAATCTTATTATTAATATCCCTTATTGATTTGCTTCTGATTAATGTAATCTGTATTCTAACACATATTTGTGCAATTGGATATTAAAATAATAAGCGAAATACGAGCAGAATGTTCGTTCCGAACTTTAATCTTTGGATCGGGTCCTGGCATGCCTCGCGCCACCATGTGTCAGACTGCTTTAAGTGACGTCACCTGTTGAATGTGCAACCATTTTTTGCTGCCCACTGCCATGATTTTACGGCACACAATCTATTTTACCGGTTTCGATATGCTTTCACGTTCGACATGTTTAAGTGATTACGTGAAAGGAGCATTTTATACAACACTTTCGGTTTGAAAATCTATTACTTTCCAGATCGTTTATCGAGCTCTTTATTATGAGAAGTAGTATCTGTCGGACTACCAGGTTTACATTCCGATCAGAAGAATTATCAGTACCAAAAATATAAGCACTGTTAGTGGACTAGTGGTCTATGTCACCAAGTATAGCAGTAGTTCTGTGACGACTGTGACGTAGTCAATATATTAAATGTGCTGTAGAAGCATGTGAAGCATGGGAAATATTCTAACCACCGCCGACGTATATCCATCATTTTGCCTATTTATAGGCCACCCGCAGTTAACCTTAGCAGGCAAACTAACGTTGCTTCAAACACGTATTGTTTGTTTCCGGTCAGAAAGTTTTCTCCCTCTCAGATATACTAAACTTGTAACTTCTTTGGAACAGATGAGAAAAGAAGTAAGAAATATTAACACCTAACGTTGCCTAGAACGCGGATTGTTTGTTTTCCGGTCAGTTTTTTTAGCTGAATCAACCACTGTTGGCCTTGGGAGGCCTTTACAGATCCACCGGACTTGAGGCGGCCGGGCGCTGAGGGCACCTAACTTGAACCTCCCGTCCTTTCTGAGCCTTGGCTCGCGCCGTCACGTTATTATTATTAGATTCTTGGACCGGTCAGTGTTTTTTTTTTCTCTCTAAGTGATTCTAAATTTTTAACATCACGTTCATTGCAGCAGATTAAAGATGTAACACAATTCTATATGATTTTCCTTCCGCTATTATTCTCGGAGCATCGAATAATGACAAATCACCGTTTTTATCTTAAACGTTAACAGCGTTTCCTAAATCTAAACAAAGCGAAGTCGGTACACCGAAATAGGTGGGTTAGTTCCGCAAGCAATTTGTAAGGCAAATTTTTAGTGTGACAGAGCCCGGATTTCCTTCGCGCAGCCAACTATTCCTCTTGCCGGATAACCGGTGTAAATCTTACATTAGAATTGCCGTGCACACCTGCAGGATATACTGTCTCTTACAATTAAGCAACCTCCGTGAAGTATTATTTTAAACTACGAAGTAGATGTAATCGAATTATTTAAACATAGTTAGTAACTGTTGTTAAATTGTATAGGTACAACATCTAAAGAACTACATTATTCATACATTATTATTTTTTTTATGGGAATAGGAGGCAAACGAGCATGTGGGTCACCTGGTGATAAGCGACCACCGCAGCCCATGGACATTTGCAACATCGGTTGAGTCGCAATTGCGTTGCCATTATACTATACAACATCCATTCAGCTGTTGCAGAATCGTGGCAATTTTCCAGTCCGGATTGTAGTCCGGATGTATAAGCGCTGGGTATGGTAACTGTATCTTTAAAAACCTACAATGAGTTCAACACCTATAATCTGTATTTATAATTAAATCTGCCTATATGTATGTTCCCTATGGATTAGCCTGGAGGGTGATCCTATAAAGTTTGGTAGTGATAGGATCAACATAAGTTTTGTTTTTGGACAGTATTTAATGTCCGTGCGAAGCCGGAGTGGCTAGCTGTATTATAAACAAAAAGCATTTGCATTATCAGTCTATTTCGTATCTTGAGATCCTACAGTCAGCCGTATTAAATGATATAATTATAGAATACAAAATTCGTCTTACGAAATCACCAATTCATTCGGTGCGTAAATTTCAACTCGGCTTCTTGTGTTGAAGCAAATAGCGATGCCATCAATTCAGTGCCGGAAAATCCTAAAATTGTTTCATTTCGCGTTGCAAGGCCGTTTGTTTTCAGGAGAGTGAGCGTCCGCCTGTACCGCATATCAAGGGAAGGCGGCAATAATTCGCGGGTGTTTTCGCGAATTCTTCCGCTGCCGTTGGCTTGCCACTTCCGTTTGGCAGGGCGTAAAAGCGTGCCATGTTAGATTAGGCCGCGAACTATTTCGACACGTATGAAAGTTTCTACGGCCACCATTACAGTGTTAGTGTAACTATTTAAACCGCTCTTTGAACTGCGATTATAACAACTTCGGTATTATTTTGATAGGTTTTTTTGTGTGAGACGGTGGCAAGTGAGTTGGCGGTTCACCTGATGTTAAGGGATAATCGCCGCCCATGGGCATTTGAAAGACGCGTAGGGTTGCGTTGCATCTTTTTATAAAGTGGGCTCCGGCTACCTCACTCACCAGGAATATTTCCACTTCACGCCGGTCTTCCACGGGATCGTCGTAATTTCCCGTTTGGCCCTATCAGTGAGTACCCCTTTTTGCTTTACACATCACTAAAGACGGGGCAGTAGAAACAGTTTGCCTCATCTTTAGTGATGGGTGAAGCAAATAGTGAAACAGTTTCCTTTCAATCTCACCGTCAAGTCACGAATGTCTTAACTACTGCTAGAAGAGTATAGGCTTTCACTGAGCTAATGGATTTATCAAGTAGCACCTCACTACTTACCATGTAAGTTGTTCAAACACTGGCCACAGCAATTTAATGTTCAATTTTATAGCATATTAGATTATTATTTCATTAGATCCTCCTATTAGATTATTATTTTATACAAATCTTTATTTATTTATAATTGATGTAAGTTACTACGGGGATGTTAAAGGAATTTCTTATTTAATTCTGCCTGTTACGCGATCGAAACTCGGTCTGCACGATTGAGACACAAATTGCAATATTTTACTGTTCAAATTAATCTAAATCCTAATATCACCGGGATCGCACGTTCGCAACTTTTAAAAAAGGAACTATTGTAAAGCCCTGTTGTCCGCAGGACGAATTGTAAATTTCAATGAGGCATGCGCTATCGCGTACACCGAACATCTGCCGAGTGACCTTTCACCTCCGAGTGACAATGGGACCGTAAGAAAGGGTCACTCGTTGCCCGGAACCGGATCCGAGCGGTGTATATCGCATGCAACCGGTTTCAACCGGTGCGGTGACCATATCCATCCACTAGATCGGGCGAAATGTTTTTTTATAAAAATGAATATTAATTTATTATTATTAATAACTTATCTTATTTTCGACTTATTAAGAAAAATAAAATAAAAATATTTATTCATGACGAACTTTACCGTATTAAACTTATAATTCAGAAACTTACTGAATTAATTATTTATTTCACATATCTGATTCACTTCATTAATGTGTATAGGGGAATTTTATTTTACTAAGACTTATTTTATGATTAACCAAATCATTGACACCCTATTAACTGACCGCTACTGCAACAACTTTCAACTGCGTCTATAGACTAATAATATTTAAAAAAAGGAACTCACAATGGAAGCAGGACATATGGACAGCGGTCCAAAAGCACGCATTATTTGTTTTTTTATTCGAAGTCACGTTTTAGTGAAAATTTTAAACGGCCAGTGACCATATGCGCTGGTAATGAAAGGGTTACTATAAATACCTTGTTACGCCTCTCTATTGGTTTTTGTCGGTATCGATGATCGTTTGTCGATTAAACTTGGCGCTGTGAAAGAGTAGATGGCACGTGACGACAGAAAGGATGTTTTGTTTCTTTTTTGTGTTTTAAACATCGAACGTACAATGTTGACAATTTTCGTAAACCCACAACAAAAACCATCACGATGAAGGCCTTAGAAATGTTAGTGTTGGCAAATGAAAAAAAAAAAAAAATGTTGAATGATTATCAAAATCGAATTGTTAACAGAGTCCGCTTTCAATGCATTAATACATTCTGTAAAAAGTTTAGTTAAAATAAATTCCATCGGTGCAGGAAATTAATATTTTTCAACATAAAATCGAGTCGAGGAATAAATACAAAAATCTAAAGTACTTGAGTTAATATATGATATATATATATACACATTTTTTTAAAAAATTTATTCTCTTGTCACTTCATTACATACAGCTTCTTGGCTAACTCGGTCAACCGGAGACTTAACATGTCAATATCCGGATAGATGGTAACAAAAAAAGCTAGAAGAATCGCGCAGTGTCGATAGTTTTTGTCCATATATCCACAAAAATTTCATCTTAAGTGCAGAGATTAGGACTAGAAAAAAAAATTGAACATAAAGCAAAGACTGTTAACTGATTAGAGATGTGAATTTATCATGTATCAAAATTGTTATGGGTAAGGTGGCAGAATGCAAGCAAAATTTTAATTTTAAATACAGTGTATGGCCATGGGCGGTAGTTAGTTTGCTGTTTTGTGTTATATCAAATAGTTCTTTGACAACCTAAAATCTTACTAGGTATGTCAACGTGATCAAGCTAAAGTATTTCTAACTTCGTATTCACAACTTATAATTCATTGAAGTAATGTTATAATTCCGTTGCCTTTAAATATTAAACGATTCCAGAAAAGAATTAGTTAAGTAGAAAACCCACCACAACACACTCAATTCCCTTCAACGTTTCCTATAATATTAGAAACATTCCTTTTCTTTCTTTCTATAGAGATTGTTTAATTTTAAGCTATCTTTGATTTACGCCAATTAT